TAGGGAAAACGTACAGGACATCTTCATCAGTCTAGTGGCATTTGTTGGAAAACATATCTCTGTGTTTAGCTAATGACATAATTAGAAAAGCAGTAGTCAGCTGGCAGTGAATAGTGAGTCTTTATTTAACAGGAAGGCATGAAAATTAGCCATCCATCTGTTTTTTCCTGGTAATTACCTCTAAATATTAAAATTGAACACAGTCTTCAACCTGATTGGTAGATTGAGCGGTAACAGTAAAGATCAGATACTAAAAGAAAGACACTGGTAGAAATGAAGATGATGCAGCTCCTGTATTTTACAGCATTCATACCTGTCTCTGAAACATTTCTACCTACCTACAACAGCTGTTGTGGAGGTCATGTTCATCATTTCTGGTTCTTCATATTTTTGGTTCTAAATGAGCACCAGTATAGGTGACAGAGTAAACCGAGCCATTGCTCTTGCATGAGAAATGTGACTGCACGTTGTGTGCCAGTAGCACTGTCTAGCTGTGGGGTTGGTCCCACCTTGGTGGGGGGTTGGTCATGGTGGTTGGACTCGCTGGCCTCCAGAGATCCCTTCCAGCCTAAATTATTCTGTGTGCTGATATGGCCTTAGGGGCAGCAGTCAGAGCTGGCAGCCTATCTCATATTGGGGGATTTCCCTTCTGAAGAACCCTTCACCAGCATTGTCACTCCCACCTCTTCCCTTATCCTAGCAAAGACCCCCATGCAGTCCACCCCATGGCTGAACCCAAGCCTCTGCCTGGCTGGGGAGCAGCTTCTGCCTCATCTTGGGTGGGTGCCTCGGAGTGACTTGAACTGTCTGCTGGAGCAGTCTTGCACATTTACTTTCCCCTTTCTAATCATTACTCTAGCTGGGCACCCTTGTAGCAGACCAGCAAACGGCCAAAGGGACACCAAAACCTACTCTCTTCTAGCATCAACTGCTTGTGTGTCCTGTGTTCCCTGCAGCAGTCACCTTGTCTGTGGAAATTATGCACAACCCTTGTTCTTTATTAATAATTTCTATTGAGCTTGCTGAAGGAAAAAAATAAAATTATTATGCAGCAGTTCTTACAAATACTACTTTTTATTTTAATTCCTGGCCTTTTTTTTTTTTTTTTTCCCTAATAGTGTATGCACCCTTAGGAGCTGCTTTGGAAGTTTTATAAATATGCAGGGTCAGGCCACTGTTCTCCAGCTTCATTCAACAGTTTCTACCTCCAACAAGCTGCAAAAAGGAAAATCAATAATGGATCTCTAGACTTCCTCACTAGAAGACATTTTCAGTGGCTGAGATTATTTTTTCCCTCTTTTTAGATATTAATGTTAGCTAGCAGAGAACCCAAAGGCAGTTGGAAGAGGCAGCTGTGACAATAGCTTCAGAAGGGCAGCTGGAAATAAACCTCCTAAACTCAGGCACGGACAACTTGGAGTCCTTAAAGAAGAATCCCACTGCATGTGGGTAAGCGGCAGGTCACACTTTTGTCACCTTCAGACTTGATTTACACTCAGCTTGCGGCACTGCATATTTCCAACTGAACGCTTTCTCTCAGAAATGAGAATGTCATTTCTCAGCTCCATCTAGAGTTTATTACTCACATGTTACTTACACTTCCTTGACTCTTGATAAGAAAAATGATAGTCGTCCTGTAAATTTTCAAAACATTTTTCAGAGATGGCTTCCAGTGCTGTTACAACACTTTTGCTACTTCTTATATTTGTTTTGATGGATTTGGAGCTGCCGTGCTACAGTTCACTGTTATTGCATGTCAGGTTGACGTATGTGGTATTTTCTATATGGTATATCGGTATAATTCAAAAAGAAGTTGTCCAGAAAGATGGAAGAGGAAGAAAATTATGGTGCAAGGCAAGTCATCAATATTTAAACAGTGCTTAGGAGTTGCTAATGGACAATACCAGATCCTCAGCTTTGATTTTGCCCCTTCCTAGCCTGATTTCCACAATATCTGAACCAGGATATTTTACCTTTCATAAGCACAGAAGGCAGGATAGGAAGGACTCTCTGTCTGTCTCTCAAGACAAGGGAAGTAACTCTGTGAAGGACTCCCTGAACAAGAAATCCTGTTAGAGGACTCGATCACCGGTTAAGCTGACAAGAATGCCATTAAGAATTGTAAGATGACAATAAGGCAGACGTATAGACTGCTATTTAAAAAAATTATTTTCTCTAATTTTATTTTTGCTGCTGTTTAAACAGAAAATAATTTCGGTTTAGATGATGTTTCTGAATTTCTGTATATTTCTGGCCTGCTGAGAAGATATCCAGTGGCTTAAGTCAGCAGGGTAAGATCAGTCGATCCATGGGGTTGTGCACCATTAGGTCCAGGTGAATTGTGGCAAAAGTGAATAATGGCGCCCCAGAATCGACCAAGGCACAAGGCCTGAGGCCTAAAGAAATATGGTTAGTGGTATTAAAAACGTGACCACTCAGATGTGCAGCTGGTATCACAAGTGTGACACTTGCTAGCTGCGTCCTCCTAGCTGCCAAACAAGCTGCACAGGTGTCTGTCCAATACTTTGAACATAAATCAGGAATGTTACACAAAAAGAGCCACTTAAATAATTACTTTGGAGTGTGAAGTAAGATCCACTTTTTGATGGAACAAACTGAACTTTGCTTTGTGTTTTGGGAGTTTATTCCTGAAGAAAAGAATGGTTTATTCTGCCTTAACCCAATCTGGAAATGGTGGTTATTTTCCTTCTGAATGACTGTTACAGTTTTCTCAGAATGCCACAGTACAGATTTGCTGTTTAGCTGTCATGACCATGAAGTATTTATTAACTTTAGAACATGTACTTATGGGGTTCAGTTTATAAGCCTTTATATTACTACAGTGCACAATAATTTAGACATTTGATTCTTACATGAAAAAAGTATAAAAGTGAATATCATTGTTTGTTTCTTGAATAATTGATTACACAAAATGTCTTCAATATGAGTATCTAATAGTTTCTTTTTTCTTGTTGTTTCATTGCTAAAAAATCTGTCCCTTTGTAGAATAAATTTATTTCAAACTCTTTACCATGAATAACACCAGAGGTAAAAAATGGCAGAATGAATTACAGGCTAAAGTTAAGTCAAGCAAATAGGCAAACACAAAAATCCCCTTTATCAAGGGAAGTGGTGACAGAGTCAAATTATTTTGCTCATTCTTAAGGCCGGGAGTCATGTCATCATCATCATCTCCCAGTACTTTTAAGTATGTTCTCGACACCTGATGAGCTTTCTAAAGGCCAGCTTGAAATCCTCATTAAAGCTAGTGTACAGCAAAGGGTTGACAAGGGAGTTGACATATCCCAGCCAGGTCAAGAAGTCTGCTACTTCTGGAGAGACAGTGCAAACATGGAGGCCCACAAGCAGCTCCTTGATGAAAAAGGGCAACCATGACAAAATGAAAGCACCTAAAATCAGGCCCAGAATACGAGCAGCCTTTCGTTCCCGCGTCGTGGAGATCTGTTGCCGGTCACCAGCCAGGTCCAGGTCATTCTCGAAAGGAGGGATCCTCACGGATGCGTTGATTTTATCGAACTCCGTGGTTGGGTCAGACGTGGAGAAGTCCGAGACGCAGAACGTCTGTGTGAGCTTGCAGCTGGCAAAGGAGTTTTGGCTGTCGGTGCTCCTGTTGCTGAGGTGGCGGCTCGAACCCCGCTTTTGGTAAAGGCTCTTTGCAGCATGGTAAATTCTGTAGTACAGGATCAGAATCAAAGTCAAGGGAATGTAAAATGCCCCAAATGTGGAATAAATAGTGTAGATGACATGATCGTGCTGAATGCGACACTCACTGGGAATATTGATGCTGTGGTGATTTCTCCAAAACAAAGGGGGCATTGATATGAAAATAGAGATAGTCCACACAGTGACTATCATCAGCCCGGCCCTTTTTGCTGTTCTTTTCCTGGCGTATTCAATAGCATCTGTGATTGCCCAGTACCTGTCCAGAGCAATGACACAGAGATGAAGGATCGAACACGTGCAACATGTCATGTCAACACTAAGCCATATCTCACAGATGAAGTATCCCAAAGTCCATTTACCTATCATTATGTAAGTGATGCTCAAGGGCATGACAAGAACAGCAACAAGGAGATCTGTCACGGCTAGTGAACATATTAAATAATTTGCCGGCTGGTGGAGCTTCTTGGTTGTGGAGATTGCCGCAATTACAGCAGAATTCAGCAGCATAGTCAAGGTTGTGATTGTGGCCAAGGTCATGGTAATGAGCATCTTTTCAGTTACTGTTTTTGGCTTCGCAGCCACATTGGCTTCAGTGGTGCAATTTGTGAAATTCATTTTCCCCTCCAGGATGCACAGTGAAAGAAGAAGTTGCTCCTTCAGGTAGCGAATGGGTCCAGGTTCAGAAGTCACCCATTTGAAAGAGGGACAGAGGTGCTCCAGGTGCAAATTTTTATTTTTTATTTTTATAATCCCATATTCAACAGAGCAGCAAAAAGCTTTGAGGTTTCCTCTTGTTCATTGTTTTCCTAGAAGACAAAACCACATCTGTTAGTGAACCCAGAAAACCCACCTTTTGGCAAAAAGTCCTATGCTTCTAATATTACCACCTCAAATAAAAATTTTGGTCTTATTTTCCTTTTCTTCCTGTTCTTCCCCTTCTTCTCTGCATTTATA